GGCGGAGGCAAGTTGCAAAGCTCACTTCGTTGACCTGTCCTCACATCTACATGGACTTTCCAAATGCTGTCTGGTGGGTGATTCCCATGCATCCCTGGAGGCGGGCTGATAGCATCACCCCTGCTTTGTCAATGAAGACATGAGCACAAGGTGGAATCTGGCAGGCAGTCCAGGGCCACACAGCAAGCATGTCAGCCGCACAGCCAGGCAGCACTTGTGGGCAAGGCCTGTCCCTCGGGTCCCACCCTGGACAGCTTTACCTCCTCTGAAGAGCAGGTACTCATGGGGTAGCCCAAAACTTGACAAAGGGATAAAACACTAAACAAAGCACTTTTTAAAATGCAGGACTGATTGAGCACTCACACCTGAGCCTTCCAAAGCCTCTGGCTCTGGCCAGCCTATTGGTGCAGATGTCAATGGGAGCTTCATAAAGGCAGGGAGAGTTGATGTTTTCTTGGCTCTTGTATCCCCAGTGCCTAGACCTGGGCCTGGATCATTGTAGGGGGTCAATAAAGTTTGGTGAACGGTGACTGAATCTCAACTGCATTGTTAGCCTTCGGTGCTAACGGCTGGGCCTTGCCTGGCAGGTGCCTTTGTGAGCCGGGCACTCCTTAACCAACTCACTGATAAAGGCCATTGAAATAGGCTTTTGATTGAGTTTCTCTGAAGAAATCACAGAAGATTGCTCCAAAATGGCCTCTATGCTACAGATGAGGAAGGACACATATTTTGAAGTAAGATGATTGGTTCAAGCTTCCTCAGTTATCCCGATGTAATGCTATGAGCTGAATTGTGTTCCCCCACCCCAACTCATGTGTTGAAGCCCCAGTGTGATGTTATTTGGAGTTGGGCCTTTGGGCAGAAACCTCATTCTCTCTCTCTCTCTCTCATTCTGACACAGTGAGAAGATGGCCACCTGCAAACCAAGAAGAGGGCCATAGTGACACTCTGATCTTGGACTTCAGCCTCCAGAACAGCGAGAAAACACCTTTCTGCTGTTTAAGCCACCCAGTCTATGGTCTTTTGCGGTGACAGACCAAGCTAAGACAATACCCCACACTGGCTTTTCTAATGTCTCAGGGTTAGGCTGCAGCCATAGCAACACTGGTCACCCTGTCCCCAGGACCCGACAGAACAGTTCTGTAGAGGATTCGGTAACTACAGAGAAAGCCATGTCCTCACTACTGCTCCCTTGGCTCTGGAAGACTGAGTTGATACACAGGTTCTTGTTAGGTGTTCAATTGAAGGACAAACATTGTAAAGACTCTTAGCCTTCCTAAGGCCTCTCTTAATTAAAGGGCATTTTGTTTCAGAAACAATCTCAGTGGATCATCTGAATGGAAATTATAACATCATTCCTCATTCCACATGCTAGGGAGTATGTGTTTCTCTATATCTTCCCTCCCGATGACCCCCCAACCAGGCAACTTAAGTTACTTGTGGGAAAATTCTTATTTCCTGGGCAAAATCTAAGGCAGGAAAATTGATGTCTCATAACCTATAAGGAAAAATAGATATTGGAGAATCTTAAGTGGGACCAAATTCTAGCATCACTTCTTTGCAAAATCTTATACATTTCTTGAACACAAATATGCAGTTCCTTTTTCTTTGAGGGCATTTTACAAAAGGTCTAGAAAATATATGCGGTGAAAGGGAGTGTCTTGAGCCCCTCAGATCAATGTTGGCTTTTACATTTTAGAAATCATGTGATTCAAACAAACTTTGAATGCTCTAGTCACCCCCAATGCAGCATTGTACTCTCTTCCCAGCCGTGGAGAGGGCATCTAACCAAATGCCCCAGTCTCGGAGGGTAAGGGCTTTGTACAGCCCTTAAAGTGAGGGCCCTTTTGTGAAGCGTTATAGTTGGAAGCTTCCACGTGTAGAGTCCAGGTCTGAGGAGAAACCACTTGGTGACTCAGAAAAGTCCTCCTGCATCTGGTGCCGCTGGTTCCGTCCCTGGCTTTGCTGAGATCAGAGAAGGGCACTCTATGAAAGGCGGCTAAGAATGACTTCCCTGGAAGGGGTGTGTCCGGCAGGGAAGAAGTAGAGAGTGGACACATGAGGCTTTCTTTGGACAGACAGCTCTGCACTGGCTGCTTTCTCCAGTGTCTTCAGATCTGGAGGACCCTGCCAAGGGGTGACTTGAAGGGTGCTCCATGGGGGTACTCAGGAACATGGAAGGGGGGCAGCTAGAAGACTTGTCTTTGAAGCTGCACTTTCATAGCACTGCAAGCTTGAGGAAACATCCATTGTCCATTTAAAGAACTGGGGAAGATGACTAATAGGGATGAAGGGGGTCTGAATCCACAAAGCCACCCCATGGATGGCATGGAGGCATGAAAGACTAGATGCAATTTCTCTATGAGAAACTAAGTCGCACCACCTCTAAGTATTCTGAGAAATGCACATTCTTTAGTAATTAAAAGGACCTACTCCATGAATTTAAGTAATCAAGACTGAGGAATATTTTCCAGTGGGAAGATACATGGTAGCCCCTGTATCTCCCAGAATATACAGGGTGGGGAAAGAGTAGGTTTACAGTTGTTCGTGTGGAAAATAATGCAATAATTAATACATAATAATACAAGAATAAACTCTGTGTTCAAACTCACAACTATAAACCTACTTTTGTAGGTTTTGTATATGGTCTAGAAAGCTCAAATCACATTTTCATGTCTTACTGGTGCCAAGCTAGTGAATGGCTGGCAAGAAATGTTTACACCAACAGTCATTATTAAAGTTTCCCACATGGCTGAATCTAATTAATTAGGCCTAGCCGAACTTGCCAGCCACACCCGGGACCCAGCCCAAGAACCCTCAGAGGATTTAGAAACACTCCTTTGACAAACACTCATTTATTACGACCTGTCTTCACTGAATCACCTCTATGGCAGATGCCATCTGATAGAGCTTCCTCAGAACAGGGTGCTTTATAAACTAAAAGTCAAAGCCCTCTGCTTTATTTTTCATTAAAGAATCTCTCTCTGTTCTCTTGATAATCATAGCTATGGTGCTTCACACTCAAACCACTTCACAAATATTAATTTCTATTCCACAGTTTGTCCAGACCAAGGACTATGGGACTTATTTTTCTTCAGGCCCAAATCAAAGGACGGGGTACTTTCTACCAGCCCCATGTTTTGTTTTGTTTTTCCCTTGAAATTAGTGTGAGCATTGTTTTCCCTCCAAAGCCTGTAAGATATTCCCAGAATGGGTTAGAAATTCCTTTGAGCCCTCCACCCTCCTGGCTTTCTTGGGCGGGGTGGGGGTGAGGGAAGGGCTCTGGGAAATTATTCCAGAGCAAACTCACATCCATGGAGACCAAGGGTACCTTTGGACTCAGAGTTTTATTCAACATACATGTACTGAGTGCTGATTCCATGGCAGGTACTGGTGCAGGCACGAGTGAACAACATAGGCCGTCATGCTTTCTGCTCTCTCATGGCTCACCTTCTAAGCAGGGTGGCAGGGTCGTGGCAAACAATAAACATGAAAGCAAAGTAATTTCCAATAGTGACAAGTTATAGTAAGACCATACAGAGGATAATGGCGTAGAGAGTGACTGGGGATGTGTGTGCTGGATGGTCAGAGAAACATTGCTGAGGGAATAACACTGGATTTGAGACCTGAATGATGATGTTATGCTAACTGTGTCGTGTTCTGTTAGATACACTTCTGTTTAAAGCAATTCCACAATGGCAGAAACTCAAATAGAATGAAGAGATTGATTAGGAGAGCATTGTCTTCTCATACTGTTTTTGTTTTGTTTTGAGTTGGGGGAGCTATGCAAGAATAACTGGTAAATTGATTCAGTCTCTAAGGAGGTCAACATTGAATATCTATCAAAATTAAAGAAGTACTATCTTTAGACCCAACAACCCCTACTTCTAGTAATTTCATCTATAGAAATGATGGCACTTACGCATGAAGATGTATATATATAGGGATATTTGCCACAGCATAGCTTGCAATAGCAAAAGACTTTGAACAACACAGAAGTTCATCACTAGGGGAGTGGCTAAGAAATTATGGAACATCCATATGAGAGAACTTGGCAGTCGTTAGAAAGAATGAGGTTGAGCTCCAAGATAAATTATGTGAGGAAAAGCAAGGTGCAGGAACTGAGCTCAATATGCTATCATCTTTGAAAAATATATATACACGTACATATTATCTTTGGGAGGGTGTATGTAAGACACTGATAACAGTTTTTGCCTCAACAGGGGCTGGGGGAGAATTACGGAAACTCTATATGTTTTTTGTAATGTTTTCACTTTTTATCTTTTGCATATCTTAGCTATTTAATAAACATGTTTTGAAAAATAAAGCATTGGAGTATAATTATATATGTAATGTTCATAGGAAGTTCTTTTCATGTGTACTTATATATCACAGTTCCAGCTGGAATGAATTTAAGTGTTAAAAGTGGAAAAGCTCCTAGAATTAGTCACCTTCTTGGCTAACTAAATATATGGGCATTTCTCAGCCAGGGCTTGGGCCTGGTCTCTATGATGAGCTTAGGAATCATTTCAGAAAAGGCATTTTCTCTTAGGATGGACATCGTTTTTGGAAAACAGTGCACTCATTTCTATCCATTTAAAGATCTCAACAACTAACCGTCGACCAATGTTCAGACAGAGAATTGAAAAAAAAAGGTGACTTTTCTTGAAAAAGACTTTCCAATACATATACAATATTACAGTTTGCTTCCTTCTAAGTTAGAACAGGCCTGGGTTTCTAAGAACGAACTTGTTCCAGCAAGAATGTTTTTCTAAACTCTCACAGCTATTTCATGTTCTGGACCATTAATGATTATGTACTGATAAGAGTCTTCAGCTACCAGTAAAATTTTAAGAAATATGATGGAAATAAGATGTTTTTCAGATGTCTCTTATTCCAAGCCCAGTCTCTGTGGCTTCCTACAATGCTGTGCCAGAGAAGGAGAGCAAATAGTCCTTACTCCTCCTCCTGGGAATAAAACCTGCCCCACGATAAATAAATCATTTGTGCATATAAAAGTTTTATTTGAAAGAAAAATTGCTGTCAATAACCCGAAATAGCTGTGGAAATGACATTCAGTATCTATTTTTAAAAAATGCATTAAATATGGATCCAGTGGAATCGTGAGGAATTAATTCGCTTGGAGGCAAAATTTCCATCAGCATCAAGGTGGCTGTGAGACTCTGGCAGGGGCAGAGCCTGGGGAGCGGCCTGCGGTTTGATGCCAATGGGGCTGCAGGAAGGACAAATGGCTCATTAGAAAGAAGCCATGGTAACAACACCCCAGAGAACAGCTGCGTGTGAAGCTGAGTCAGAGAGCACAACCCTACAGAGGAGGAGCCAAGAGAAACCGCTCGCCCTCAGCGGTCAGCGCGTGGATAGCAGCTTTGAGCCTATCATCCGAGAAGGGAATGTCATCAGTTCTTGGCAGAGTCTACCCCTCTGTGAAGCGGGTTCAGATGAAAGGTGTCTTGGACACTTGCTAGGCTGTTGGTCTTACACGGCAGCGTGAGCCCAGCAGAGAAAGCCAGAGTCCGGATCCCAGGAGCCTTACCAGGCGGCAGGCCTGTTATCTGTGCCAACAGCACCTGATCACAGGGGAGGAAGTTATTAAAAAGTGCGTCGTTGCCCAGCCAACATGGCTCCATAATTAACTGTTGACCTGTGAACCAGGAGGTCAGGGTTCCATTCCCAGTTGGGGCATCTGCCTGGGTTGTGGGCTTGATCCCCAGTGTGGGGCATGCAGGAGGCAGCCCATCAATGGTTCTCTCTCATCATTGATGTTTCTATCTCTCTCCACCTCTCTCTTCCTCTCTGAAATCAATAAAAATAATTTTTAAAAAAGTGGGCTACTGACGAGGGCTGGGCCACCTCCAGGTCAGGGTCCCTTGTCCTCAAGGTCAGGTTTCAGGGAAGGCTTCTGTGGCCCTTGAGGTCACACACCCTCTGTTGTTCTTGGAGAAGGAGGGAGAGGGCTGGGCCCTGGCTAGTGGAGGTGGAGAGAGAGGAACCTGAGAGAGACAGAATAATTCAGACAGGACTCTGGAAATCACAACTGGACTTGACTCTGTCCCGGGGGGGGGGGGGGGTTGCTCTAGTACAGGCAGCAAATATGTTGGACAGTCCGGTGGAGCTTGGTGTGACAAGTATAAATAATCTTGGAGTTGGACTTGTATTTCTACCTTCTATTTTTGAGATCCCTCTTTGGAGTCACTCAGCCTAGTATTGGTTGACTTTCTGTATGAAGCATACTCTGTCTCTAAGGTCAAGGTCTTTAGTATCAATGGTTCAAGCTATAGATTTACTATTCCATAATTTGTCTTAGAATCAGAGTTGGAAGGGGCAGTAGAGATCTGACCCACTCATTGTAGAGATGAGGAAACCGAGGGCTAGAAGAGTTAAGGAACTTGGATGAAGCTATCAGAAAAGCTGGGGCTAGGATTCAAGGTTTTCTCCACCAAGCAGAGTCCTCTGCTATTTGAAAAGTAACATTAATTTCCTGCTTTTGCATTCTGCTCACACTTCTGTTTATTCACTGTGTTTCAAATTATGTGGTCCATTTCCCTGTCCCAAAGAGAAGTGAATATGTTGGTTCAGCAGGAATTTTCCAAGAGCTGAGCTGAGAAAGGGGGAGAGAGAGAGAGAGAGCAAGAATGCAAACCTATACATCAGAGCCTACAAAGCTTAATGTGACCAAAGGAATGTTAATCGACAAACACTATCCAGATTTAACAACACTCGAGACATTATAAACTGACACCCGTACAAACATATGAAATACAGAAAATAGGATTAACCTTTGTCTTCAGGGGAGGTCATGCCTGCTTAAGGGCAATCCATCGTCAGCTGGCTGATATCTTGATATGGCCTAAGATTTGCACTTAGTATGGCAGGCAATATTCATGCGCTGCCAAGTGAAAAGGGATTTGGTATTTTCCAGTTCAATAAATGCAAACAAACCACATAATTGGGCATTAAGTAGATTGTGTTTTATCAGACTTTTCCAGTCCTGCAGTCTGTGTTGACCCAATCAACTAAATTATTGCCACTCTGGTTATCTGTGAATAAAAAACACAATTACAATTCCTGGGGCCTTACCTGCCACCTCCTCTGTAACACGTCTGATGGTGGTGAAATATCCCAGTCTGCTGAGTCATAGTCATTTCCTCCCTCCATCACTTAGGGTGGGTCCGTGATGCACAGTGACAGTTTGGGGACATAAGCTGCCTTATATTTTTATATCCCTGTCTTATCTTAGCTAATCTCCACCTTATTCCTTAAGAATGGGAATTCTTCTGCACCTCTGCACACACTCAACAAACATTACTGATCGAGGGTTCATCATACAAAGGTACTGAAGATACAAAGATCCCCTCCAGGAGCTCACAGTCTAGTGGTAAAGATATAGGTCTAAATAAATAATAAAAATGTAGTGTGGTAACGTGGTGCCTGGGTGGTGATTGGAAAGTCTTTCCAAGAGCCACAAGCCCTGTTTCTTCTTCCATTGGTTCGTCTCTGTACTCCTTGACCTTCATCCTTAGAGGCAGCCATCACGTTGACACCCATCCGGAAGTTGGCTAGTGTTAGACACCGGAAAGGTCCCCACCGCCTCGCCTTCATCTCACTGGCCATTTTCATACCTATCCCCTGCGTTCACAGGCAGATGTGAGGAAGCTTTAAGTCAATAAACGGGGAAGGGGAAGGGGGTGTAAATGATGATCAATTAAGATGATGGACAGAAGTATTGGAACATCACTTATATTCATTTTTATGTAAGAAATTTTAACATATGTAATACTTTCAACAACGAAGTGGTTTTTTTTTTTTAATTTAAAAGAAAAATATTAAATTTCCCCAACTTTTAACTTTTATGACACTGACACCCTCATTAGGCCTGTCTGTTGGATGGGCACATATCAAGTAGGTGTGGTACCCTCAGGAAAAAGTGAGTTCTCAGAGCAGAGGGAGGCATCTGCAGTCTTTTGGCCGTCAGATATTGGAACATATTTCAGGTTATCAGTGCTTGGTTGAGTGGATTTAAGAATTATATTATCCAAAATCTAGGGTTGCCAAACTATGGCCATGGTCAAATCCAGCCTGATGCTTATTTTTGTAAATAAAGCCATGCTCACTGATTTACATATTGTCTGTGTCTGCTTTCAGATAGCAGTGGCAGAGTTGAGCAGTGTGGGGGTCAGGAGTCAGTCTCCTGGGGATGTGCCATCCTGGCATGAAGATTATTTCGAGCTGAAACAATTAAAACCCTACAAACCCAAGAAGAGTTTTCGTTGTTGTTTGTTTGTGTGTGTGTGTGTGTGTGTGTGTGTGTGTGTGTGTGTGTTTAACTTCCACCCCAACTCTTCTTGCCTAAAGAGATTCAGATAAATAAGTGTATAAAAAAAAAAAAGTGTATCACAGAAGCACTGCTTCAGGAAAGGAACCTTAGAATAATTATCTTAGTATTTTCACTTACGCACATATGAAATTAAGTGTGGCAGACAGGGAGGATACAAGCAAAACTCTGCTGCTAGATTCCCCATAGTGCCCCTTTGTTTCTGGTGGCCCTGCAAGAATTTGCTGTTTGCTCTTTCTCTCCTACCTGTGAATTGCCTACTTTCCCCTCCCTTAGTCTAAAATGACATATATACCTCTTTAGCCTCACTGTCTTTGGAATTTTCATGCTTATGTGAATTCCCTGTATGCATGCATTAAAATTTGATTTTCTCTTGTTAAAATGCTGTATGTTATTTAAATTATTCAACCAGCCAGAAGAACTAAAGGGGTAAGGGACAGTAGTTGAAACAGAGATTGTATGGCCTGAAAAACTGGAAACATTTACTATCAGGCCCTTTACGGACAACATTGGCCAAGTTCCACCCCCAAAATTGTTCAATTTTTAAAAAAATATATATTTTGTTGATTTTTTACAGAGAGGAAGGGAGAGAGATAGAGAGTTAGAAACATCGATGAGAGAGAAACATCGATCAGCTGCCTCCTGCACACTCCCCACTGGGGATGTGCCCGCAACCAAGGTACATGCCCTTGACCGGAATCGAACCTGGGACCCTTCAATACGCAGTCCGATGCTCTATCCACTGAGCCAAACCGGTTAGGGCAAAATTGTTCAATTTTTGAAAATTTTTATAAGATGGGGAGAGAGGATAGTGGCCATGAAAATCTTTATGTCACACCAAGGTTCACTGGTTATCTCATGACAAAGTTCTTAAAAGAAAGGTAGAATTAAAGATGAATTATGCATGTTTATTTTATAAAAACACTAATGTTTCAAAGTTGCTGGCCTTTTATTCTGATGACAAGTAGCTGACTCTAGTGACCAAGAAGATATTTTTGAAAACAAAACAAAAAACAAACACAAAACAAAAAAACCACACACACATTTAAAATATTGTTTTAAGTGAAAATATCTTTTCACTTTGGAACAATGTGTGAGAAATGATTGTGTATTTCACAAAAAATCTTCTGTGGAGAGAACATTTTGAAAAAAAATATTTTGATGTGTTCCTACTTTGTGTGAGTGTGCTTCTAAAAAGAATAAGTGTATCACAGAAAATTGTTCATATGTATATTCTTAGACACTTGGAAGCAGAATTTTTTCAGTTTAAAAGCCATCTAAATGAAGAGTTTCAATAGAATTTGAAGCCATATGTTAAAATTACACAAATACAACACTTTTCTACTGGTTTTCAAAAATGACTGGCATCTGGAAATATGAATATTTACTAGCTGAGTTTCAACAGAAATCTTTGTCTAAGGAAGAATGAAAAAATGAGCATCGCGATTTAGTAAGTTCAGTCAATGGTGGACTTCTTTTCCCATTTGGACATGTGTCTTTGTGATATACTTTTCCCAGCTACTATTATTATTTTGTTTTTAGCAAAAACAAAAAATATTTGTGTACATTTAATAAATATAAAAACTACATTTCTTGTTTTTAAATTTTTAAAATCTTTTATATTATTTACTTCATCTTTTTCTTACTCAGTTCATATCTATTTTTGTGTCAGTTTTATAATGTATATAGTTTGTTGGTGGAGAAGAAGATATATGCAATTATGAATAAATAAGTATGTATACATTGGGATGCATGCCTCCCAAATATTTAAAAAAATAGGAATGTATCATTACAGTGTTTGGAGACCACTGATTTTGAGTGTGAATTTGGAATTTAGGTGATAAGTTTAAATAGGGCTTTGCCACTCACTGGCTACATTCTATTGATCAGAATAATTTATTGTAAGTCTTATTTTCTGAACTGTAAAATTGAGATAATTCCCGTGAGACACTTAATATAGAATCTAACACATAGTAAATGTTCAATAAATATAACTGTTTGATAAACATCAGTAAACAATATTATTGTACCTAAATATCTCCACATTCTCCAGTCTTCTAGGGTCACCCTTTTCTTGATTATCCCAATAGAATAACTCAATCCCTCTCATCTCACTTATTTATGGGAAGACCAGCATACATCCCTGAATTTCTACAAAGGGTGCTTAAATTCGGGATAGTTTCATTTTCCTGCTGGTTGCTTGATGCTTCTCTCCTGGTTCAGATGTCCATCACCTGCAGGCTTCTGTCCTGTTCCTTCTCCACATGTCCCCAAGAGTGGGCATAGCCTCCTTTCCAGCATTTTTTAAGACTCAGGGCTGTTGTAAGACTTATGACTTTGGAATAACACAGGGTAAATACAGTTCAGAACAGTAAGCAACTTAAAATTTAGATATCACAGTTCCCTCTCTAAATTCACGTACTGCCCACTGCTGGGAATGTCTTGCTGAGTCTGTACAGCCCTAGGCCCAGACTGTCTTCCTGTTGTTGGCACAGTTCTTTCCCTTCAGAGAACTTTCTGCCTTCTTAGCTCTTTCTTGAATTCAGAGTTCAGCCTGTTTCTCAGACCAGCACAGCCTACTCTGTTATGCCAAGGTCTTAAGCACAGCTTCAGTCTGGGCATTAAACTCCGTTAGGAATATCATTAACACTTATGAGTGAATAACGCTCCCTGAAGTTGTTCAATAAGGAAGCCCTGACCTTTTCCATCAAGAGTGAAGGTGGATGGGAACACTTGACTTTCAAACCCAATAAGCCATTAATATCACTTCCTAAATAAAAAACCTGGAGTCTTTCCTGAATCCAAAATTATCAGATTGAATTCTGAAAGCAGGGGCTCAAGTTAAAAAATGTTATGCTTCCTTTCTCCTATGAGTCTTTATAATGGAGCTGGGCAATAAAAAATTGTATTATCCCTACTTTATAGATCTTTTTTTCTTTTCCTTTCTCTGTAATCAAGTCCTATAGGTCTTGATTTCTTCCCCTTTTCAACACCACCACCACTAAAAATAACAACAATACTATCATCACCATCACCACCTTTATGACCCTTATGACCCACATAACAACTTAGATCATGACATCACTGTCCCCACTATCACCCTCACCATCAGCATATCATCTTCTCCATCACCACCATGGCTACCGTCACTAACATCACAGTCACCACCATCATGAAGGACCACTGTTATCAGCTCAATGGTTATGATCACCATCACCATAGCCATCTCTACCTCCTTGTTGGCTTTTCGGAGACCCTGTGGCAATTCTGTGAAAAGCTGCCAAAGCTCTCTAGAGTTTTTATTTGGGGAATTCTATAGGCATGTCTTCCAGCTGTCTGCTTCCAACTTTTTTTTTTTTTTTTTTTGCTCATTAGATACTTTTCGCCCCCAACTGCCCTCTCCTGCTGGCCTGGTTGCCCCCAACTGCCCTCCCCTTCTGGCCTTATCACCCACAACTGCCCTCCCCTTCTGGCCATCTTGTGACCACATGGGGGCGGCCATCTTGTGCAAAGGTGTGATGGTCAATTTGCATGTTACCGCTTTATTACATAGGACCAGAGGCCCGGTGCACAACATTCGTGCACTCGGGGGGTTGGGGGGGGGGGGGAGTCCCTCAGCCAGGCCTGTGACCTTTAGCAGTCCAGGAGCCCTCGGGGGATGTCCTACTGATGGCTTAGGCCCATGCAGTCGGACATCCTTAGTGCTGCTGCGGAGGCAGGAGAGGCTCGCTATGCTCGCCAGCCATCAGCCCAGCTTGTGGCTGAGTGGCGCTCCCCCTGTGGGAGCACACTGACCACCAGGGGGGCAGCTCATGCATTGAGCTTCTGCCCCTCTGGTGGTCAGTGCATGTCATTTGGTCGATTTGCATATTGCCCTTTTATTATATAGGATAGCTTTCTAAAGATTCTTCAACATAATTTCTATTTTAGTTATTACTTGTATTAGCTTCCTATTGCTGCTGTTACAAACCACCACAAACTTAGTGGTTTAAAACAATACAAATTTATTATGTTGTAGTTCTGGAGGTCAGAAGTCTTAAAATCAATGTGACAGTGGGGCTGTGTTCCTTCTGGAGTCTCTAGGGTAGAATATTTGCTTACTTTTTCTAACTTCTAGATCAGGCCACCTGCATTCCTTAGCTCATGACCTCATCCTCCATCTATAAAGTCAGCAGCATAGCATCTTCCAATTTCTTTCTGACCTCTGTCTCCCTCTTTATAAAAAAGAACTTTGTGATTGCATTGGGCTCCCCAGGCTAATCTCCCCATCTCAAAACCCTTAATTTAATCACATATGCAAAGCCTCTTTTGCTTTCTAAGGCAACATATTCACAAATTCCTATGATTAGGACTTGGATATCTTAGGGGCATACCAAGTCTTTATTTGGAATAGGATGTCTTTATTCAGCCTTCCATACCACTACTTCTATTATTACTACTGCTAGCAAAAATTTGCCAGGAACTATGCTAACTGCTTTACATTCTTCATCTCAATTAGTTCATAAACCACATACTAAGATTGTGTAACTTTCTGAGGCAGGCTTATGACTAAGCCATTGCTGATAATGACAGTAATTCATCACAAAATTGAGTAATAATGATAGAAAAATCTGCATTTCCACTCCTATCGAGCACTGACTTGTATATGCCTACAAGTTAATTATGAGATTATAAACGTATTTTTACAAAAATGTAGTCATATGGGTAGAAATTTGCATTTAGAAGAAATTCAGCTACATTTGAGTCGCTGGAAGGAAAGCTTGTAGTTACTGGGTTCAGTTAGCGTAGATCATTGAGACCAATGCTAATTAGATGTATGGTTGCTACTCCTGAATGGAACAGTTTGTTGCACTTAGCTTAAGAGACTATATGCATAACCCATGGACATAGACAATAGTGGAGTAGGCCTGGGGGTGGAGAATACAGGGTAGAAGGGGTCAATGGAGGGAAAAAGGGGACACCTGTAATACTTTCAACAAGATAAATTTAAAAAAAAACAAAAAACTGTCCTAGACCCTTGACCAAGATGCTATGAAATGCAAACCTTCAAGTAGGACCTTTGTCAGAAAAGTGTGGCTTAATGCACAAAACCCAAAAACTCACCACTGCTATTCAAACCCAATTTATAAACCGATGGTTGCACAAGAATTTGTTAGCATTAAAAAGTCCCACATTATCATGCAATTGAGTAGCATCTGTTTAATGTACTCTTGCCACTCAAATCTGTTAGAGGCAGTCCTCAATGTACTGTGCAACACTTAGAAGTGCAGCTGATGTATCTAAACATAGGGCCCAAATGACAATTTGTCACCTAAGACTTCCTAAGTATTAGGAGGGTTAGAGGCTCTTGAACACTGGTTTGAAACTCTTAGCTGTCTGATTTAAGGCTATTTTAAAATAGAATATAATTAAGATGATAGTTATAAAAGGCTAAATATAGATAATAGTCTAGCCCAGTCATTTTCAGCCTGTTGGCTGTAAATTCTAGCAACATGTGGAAGTTATTGTAAGGAGTCCATTAATCCATTTGAGTACCAAATGTTGTCTGCAGATTATATCCTCCATATCAAATGTTGATACGGTTGTGATGAGTAATACAAATGTGCTTAAAATATCACTGAATTCATAGAAGCTTTTGGTCATTTTGCATGTTATTAATAATCATTAGGCACTTCAGTACAATTAAGTGTGAAATTCTGATATCCTCAAAGTGGTTGGGCACCTCTGCTCTAACTTGAATTTAGCAGTGGGCACAAAATACTTCTGATACACCAATGTTTCCATTCCTTATAAGATTAAAGCTTTAGATGAGCTGTCATCTGAAAGTTCTATTCAGAAGTGAGTCTCCCAAAAGATGCTGAGGAGTTGAGCAATATATTAAGACTAACAATGCTGATGAAACCTTTCAATAGCATCTTTTTCTTTCTACAATGATAGCTTAAGAGTAAGTTTAGCAAGATAAAGGTAAAAAAGTCTCATTTCCTTTTAACTCGCCTGAAGGAGTGCCTAAATCAATAAACTGGATGGGTCTGTTTTTAAAACCCAACACTATCTTTTCTAAGAAAATGTCTAGCTTTTAATTTGTAAATAAATGCTATCAGTTGTATAGCACTTTACAAGAAATTTTTGCACTGTAGGGTCCCAGAGTGGGAACATTCTTATCATTTGTAGTCTTTTTATTTATTTACTTATTTTTAAAGCAAGCAACTCTTTTTTTCATTCTTTATTGATTTCAGAGAGGAAGAGAGAGGGATAGATAGAAACATCAATGATGTCAGAGAACCATTGATCAGCTGCCTCCTGCACTCCCCGCATTGGGGATCGATCCCCCAATCTAGGCATGTGCCATGACCAGGAATCAAACCGTGGCTTCCTTTTTCATAGATCCATGGCTCAACTCTGAGCCACACCAGCTGGGCTCATCTGTAGTCTTTTGAAAAAGAAAAAAAAGAAACAACGCACACTATTTCAAAGATGAGAAGCCACATGAAAGGTTAAGTGACTTGTCAAACACAGAAGAGGAAGCTACAAATATTTTTTTTTTAAAAAAATCACATAATAGCAACTTAAGTGATGTGAATTAGATGTTAGAAACGTGTCATACTGAATTTTCTATGCATTTTGACTATTTGATCCCAATGAAGAAAAACTGGAAACATTTTGTGGTCATCTTACCTTCCTTAAGAGGAAAAAAATACTCTGATTTAAACTGACAGGTACAGTTTGGGTGTTGACTATATTCTCTTTAGGCTTAGTATAATAAAAATTCCTATAAATATCAGCATTTCAGGACTTATTTTTATATCTAAATAATAATTTACTAAATAAACAGGTTTCAGGCTAATAGCACAGAGTTTTACAATTTATAATTACACAGGATCCAATATTTGTAAGTTTTTAACACATAAAAAAACTTGTCCTGTGTATAGGATTGTATGGCATTGAAATATCTTGGGGAGTCTGCAGACTCTCCTTAGAAATCTTTACCATAGTTTAATTAACAGCAAGTTCCAACTTTCTGAAATGGTATAAATTATAGCTGGGCAAGTAGGGATAAAGATTTACTGAATGCCTTTCAGTATGTTTTCAATCCATGGAACCATTATAAAATTGAGGCTGACTCCACAGTTTTTTGGGGTTTTTTTGTTTTTTTTTAATATATTTGTATTGATTTCAGAGAGGAAGGTAGAGGGAGAAAGAAACAGAAACATCAACGATTTCATTGATTGGCTGCCTCCTGCACACCCCACACTGGGGACAGAGCCCACAGCCCATAACCTGGACATGTACCCTGATCAGGAACCAAACTGGGACCTCCTGTTCATAGGCTGATGTTCAACCATTGAACCATGCTGGCCGGGCTGACTCCATAGTTCTTGCTTAGATAAAACAACATACGATACTATATAGGAATTTCAAAATTATTACACTGGAGGTTAAATACTGTCAGATGCTTACATTTACCAATCAGATGACTAAGTTGGCTGAAAGTTAAGGTGCTTGAGAGCTGACAAGATTTCTATATTCCTTTTTCTATTTCCTTCAGCACCTGTTGGAAGGGACAACCCTGCTCATATTTTGCACTATAGCTGTTTGCTGATATAAAACATGTCCCTTTTAAGATGCCCCAAATACTTACCTGCAAAATAAAATATTCACTCTTCTCTGGTGACTTAGTCAACTGTTAGATAATATCCTCTCTGCTGATTCCCAGAGCACACATTTTAAGCAGCCAGTTCTGGTTAGTTCTGCTCATTCAATCACTCATTCAACCAACCAACCAACCAACCAACCGTCACTTATAGATCATCTACTATGTGTTGAATTCAGTTATCTTAAATGGAACCAAAGCAAAAAGTTTTAAAGAATTACCAGAGCTTTTATTTTTGCTTAGTTTTATTAAAAAAATAAATATATCATAAAGCTTTTTTTTTTTCTTTAGGGAGAAAAAAGGAACAAGTTTCATAAAATCAAATAAGCAATGGCAAGGTATCTTAACTTGAAAAAGATTGGGAATCACAGGTTTACAAGTTCTAATTGAAACAACAACTGTAACAGCCACAGTTGGCCGCTTCATGCCAATGGCAGCAAACAAGATCAACTAGAGCAAAATAAATAATGGTGTGGAAGCCCTGAAAAGTGTTTAAACAGACTGATTCACTGAGACATGAATATAGATATATCTTGCTTTAAATAACACAGAAGTTCCTGAAAAGTTTTGTGTAAATGAAATGACCACAAGATACTCAAAAAGCTTGGTATCTGAAGGAATTCTGTGAATTCTTTTGTGAACAGCCACTTCCACTTTTATAAATCCAGGTGTTTGCTTTGCTTAAGGCAAAGTAAACCTAGCTGCTACCTCTCTGAATTGAGATGTCAGCATATTCATCTAACACT